TCAGCTATCCAGAAGCACTGGCTTCAGTCTGTCCAAAAATGTTTGGGTTTGCGTTGTTACCGTGTGCATTAAAAAAATTAATATGTCTGTTCAGGATATTGAATGTTCTTCTATATAATGGCTGCCATATATTTGATTTGCTAAGTTGCGCAACATTTCCAACTCAGTGTTCGTGATATGTATCTTTGAAATTTTCAAGATGTTTTGTTGTCCTGAAGAAGCTTTTGTTTTTTTTTTTCATAAATAACTGGTATTCCATACATCTGTCATTAGCAGGAAAACATTAATGCCACGAGACTTGGTGTCTGCAGAGATATTTTGCGAAAAAAAAATGGTTTTCAACGACGGTCGATTTACTACTCCGGTAGAAGTGGCGTCAAATGCCAAACACAATTGCTTGCTTGAAACAATATAATACAATTTAACTGCATGGGACAATACTGATTTAATTTTGTGCAATGGTGACATAGTTGAATTCTCCTTGCACACGGTGGTTTAATTAAACACAGTGCAATGGAGGAAACTATCCTTGAAAAAAATAAAGTATGTGGGAATATTAAATGCTTTCGAGGGTCTGGTGAATAGAAGTGAAACAAAAATTGAATTAAATATTGCCAAAGGCCGCTAAGTGACGTAATTTTTTATCTATTAAACGATTATGAGTTAATGCAATTTTTATTGAATTTTTTATTATTATAGAAGTAATTATATAGGGAGACATATCAAAACTAATTAGGCATATCTATTTTTAAATAAGAAGTTAATCAACGTCGATCCTGGTCAGCACCTAGATGGGTAACCGCTTCGGAATACCAGGTGCTGTAAGCTTGGATGTGCGGGTGGTGTGATGGATAATGGCTCAGAATTGTTAATCGGAGAGCCGAGTTCCAATTCGAGTCGGGTTCATCATATTCACTTACGCGCAAATACCCTTGGGAAAAGTATGAATTCAACACTTCTCCCCCAGCTACGGGTTAATTAGTAAGACTTGTATCACTGAATCATTATTATCTCTATGAAAAAGAAATAAAATTCTTACAATCTAAAAAAATATTTTCTGGCTCTAAATAATCCGCAAAAGTGTTGATAAGTTGCAGAAAACGAATCAATCAATTAATGATTAGCAACACCGGCATGTCTTTGAGATTGATTTATATACTCTGGTATATAAATGTATAGAAACTAACATGGCCACAAAGTGAGGGTTCAGTTTATATATGTTGCAATATAGAATTGATATAGATAATTTCTTGTTTGTTTATCAAATTTTGATTAGATAGGAATTCACCTTTTCTCCCCAGGCTATGGGATAATTAGTAAAGACGTGTATCACTAAATCATTATCTCAAAGGAAAAAAATCCTTACAATCTAAAACAACTATTTTCTGGCTTTAAATAGCCTGTAAGGGGTTGATAAACCGTAGAAAATCAATCAATGAAATAAGAGCCTTTATTGTTAAATGGTGACGTCATACGATATTTTTTACAAAAAACTCATTTAAATGCTGCCATTGAAATTAATACATATAAATATTTACGATTATTTACAAATATTAATTATCACTAAGCTTAATTATTGAAATATCGTCACTGGTATGCCACAATAGCTGAAGGGTTAAGAACAACAATTCTGTAATTAGCAGTTACCAAACCTTGGGGAGATATCTTTATTTATTATTTTTTTTTGTCGCTTTATCTTTTTAATACATTGTCTGTTCAGGACTTAGACAATCACGGTGAACAGTAGTTTCCTGTATATTCAGTTAAAGATTTTGAGGTCATCCTTGATAATGCCTAATAGGATGGCCGAAAGTGGTCGGATTGTTAAAACAGTTAAACAGTTTTTATACACTTTACATCTAGAAAACAGTTATAAGATCGCAAGAAAAATTGAGTAAAAAGCTTAATTGCAGTACCTTGATAGTTGGCTTTAATGAAACTTGTATAAAAGATGGATTGCTGTCCGAATACACACGCACACACACATATATATATTTGTTAGAAATATACCTCTCTCTCTCTCTCTCTCTCTCTCTCTATATATATATATATATATATATATATATATATATATATATATATATATATAGGTTTATTTCTAATTAACTTTTAATTTTTTCTTCTTCGCTTTGTTTGAGTTGGACGTAGGTCATATTCGATTGGTTGATCAGGATAAAGCATCCAAGGATTATAACTATTTTTTCCGAAAAAAAAAGAGGATGTATTTTGCTTTTGAAACCAAATTAATTGTTCACTCGCCAGTAATTTAAAATCTCCTGAGGAGACGCATTGATATGTGTCGAAACTTGACAGCAATTGTGTAGCGATTTTTGCATGTTGTTTAAATATCCTTATATATATATATATATATATATGTGTGTGTGTGTGTGTGTGTGTGTGTGTGTGTGTGTGTGTGTGTGTGTGTGTGTGTGTGAAAATTTCGGATAGCGTATATTTTTAAAAGAACAATGTCAAAAAATACAAAAGAAAAACTTACCTTATCCGACCAGTTCATCCTATGAAGACATTTGCTTTGATAAAAACCCTTCTGAGAACGAAACGCGTCGACTAAGATAAGTTTTTCCTTTTCCTTTTTTCATATATATATATATATTCTCATGCCTCATTGAAATGACAATTCGACTTTAGCCTTATCACATTCAGTCAAGGAATAATGTCATATTTGCTCATTTATTTAAAAAATTTCTCAGACTAATTTTCAGAGAGATTTTTTTTAGTTCAGTATTCTAAAAATTGTGTCCAAAGTCTTATGCTTATAGACTAATTCCTAATGTTCGTACCAGTAAACCTAAACATACAAAACATACTCTCTCTCTCTCTCTCTCTCTCTCTCTTCATGCCGAGTTTAAATTGCGGTCGAGGTCATAGCGTTCACTTCCACACTAATACTCTTGGGAAAAATATGAATCCATTTCTTCTCTCCCCAGCTATAGGTTAAACAATAGGGCATACTGTGTTCTCTAGCTAGGGAGAAGGAAACAAATTTTGGGAAAGCTAAGTAAAACCTGACGAGGTTTTTTTTTTTCTTTCATGGCACACTGTATACCATTATTCTGTTGTTAGTTCTTTCAAAAATATAGGTGATTCTGTCTATACAAATCTTTACCATTCTAATCAAATCATAGTCTATGTAGGCGGCCGTTAAGTTCTAAAAAAGAAAAAAATTAACTGTTCAATCATCTCATAAGTCGAAATTAACGAAAGAGTTCACAATATATATATATATATATATATATATATATGAAGAAATATACTCTTAAGGTGTGTTCAATATCAGAGATAGAGTGTGTGTAAATATAAAAGTGGACATTGACGTCAACACTTAGAGGCCTCTAAGTGTTGACTTCAATGTTCACTTTATATATATATATATATATATATATATATATATATATATATATATATATATATATATATATATATATTCAAATGTAACGAGAACGAAAAGAATAAGTTGGACTACAAACATAGGGATATGTTTATTTATTAATATATACTTCATAGCTCCGTTTCACTAAATTGAGCCCTGTTTTTTTACACCATAAATTAAATTAAGTAAATATTTATTTGCTTATCTGTGTATGCACGCTATCGCACGCATATACAGTTTCTATTATCTCGTTATTTATATCCACAATTCTATCTATCTATCTATCTATCTATCTATCTATCTATCTATCTATCTATCTCTGTCTCTCTCTCTTTATATATATATATATATATATATATATATATATATATATATATATGCGGTACTAAGTGAAAATATCCGTAATAGAACTAACATAGTCAGTTGCATAAATAGTAGTTTGCCAAACTCCTATCCATGCAACTGAATGAATATATATATATATATATATATATATATATATATATATATATATATACATGGTGTCCATAAGTTCGTGTTTTAAAGTGCACACGAAATTTATGGACACCCTGTATATATTACATTGAGTGCTGCTGTTAATAAAATAGTGCTCGATGTAATATAACAGCGCTATTAAGTATATAAATATACAAATTATCCTTCACCGGTAGTACGACTCGGAGTTTCATGCATAACGCAATCTTCAGATGCTGGGTAGCTTTACTTAGAACCGGTAAGGGATAATATGTATTTTTATTAATACATACATACAGACATACACACACACACACACACACAAACACGCACACACACACACATATACACACACACATATATATATATATATATATATATATATATATATATATATATATAGATAGATAGATAGATAGATAGATATGGGTATGATTTTAAAAAATCATACGTGTACGTACATATACTTGCACGTACATGTATATTTTTTCAGGTGTTAATGAAACTCCGAGTCTTGCAATCGATGTGGGATATTATGTATATTCAGGCGACAGTCTCTTTCATGCTAGATTCAATCGATGCATGAAACAGCCTGTCGCCTCTAAGTGTTGACTTCTATGTTCACTTTTATATATATATATATATGACAGTTTTTACACGCTTAATGTCCAGAAAAGAAATCACTTATATAAACCTGAAAAATTGAATAACAAGCTTAATCACAGTACCTTGTCAGTCGTCTTTAATGTAACTTTTATCTATGATTTAATATTGTAGGGATTATCTTATTACAGATATTTAATCCAATGTTATGAGAGAAAATTCAATCAGGAGTGATTACAACAATTTTTATTTGTCCTTCTTTTGTTATTATTCCTATAAATTGAATGTGTAGATTTTTCTATATGTATCTGGATAGGAATGTTTTGTTTTTTTCAGCACACACACGAACGCGCTCGCGCGCACACACACGCAAACTACACACACACATATACACAAACAAACATTCACAAGAAAACTCAAGATATACGAATATATAATATACGTATTATGGAAAAATCAATGTTAATCACTTGTAGTTTGAAACTGACTGCCACAATGAATTGTTGATTTCCTAAATCCACACCGTCTCTCTCTATATATATATAGTGATAGATAGATAGATAGATAGATAGATAGATAGATAGAGAGAGAGAGAGAGAGAAAAATTAATACAAATATAAAGTTTGTCACTTAGCTGATTGATGTTACTGTCAGAATCTCGATTCCAGAGTCTCAAAGACAGATTCTCTATTGATGGAAGCATTCCTAAATTTCATTTTTGGGATAGTGAACAGATGCCACGATAATTTCTCTTAGATTTCCTCGACGTCTTGAAATTTCTTCCTTTCAAGTGGGATTTGATTTTTGGAAGAAAAAAAAGTCGCAAGGGACGAGATCTGGGGAAATATGGCGGTTGGAAATGTTATTCTTGACAAAAAAAAAACCGCTGTACAAAAAAAAAGAACTATTTAATGACTAAACAAACAATCTAAAAGTCAACACCTCGGCAACAAGAAAGACCTGTCAGTCACGTGTTCCAATAGTTTTGCTCACTTGAAAAATAGGTGGTTATGTCCTAACTTGTTTAACACATCTAAATATAAACAGCAAGAAATAAAAGCTGAAATTCTGAACTTTTGTCTCATATCCATCTTTTGATCTTAAATCCAAATGTCTTCAGTGAACAACAAAAACAAAGGAATTGATCTTTCCGTTCCAATATTTTTAGAGGGACTATATATATATATATATATATATATATATATATATATATATATAATTAATACAAATAAAAGGTTTGTTACTTAACTGATTGATGTTACCTTCAGCATCCCGATTCCAGAGGTTCGTAGACGGATCCTCCCGGAATCACTCTGTCCACTCGTCAGCAATTGACTACTTATACTTCTCGATTTTTCTGTTTTACATGCACTTTTCATTGGTGAAATGGTTTTCGTTTTTTTTTTCTCCGTAGCGTATATATGTGTGCGTGTGTAGTTTCACGCGCGTGTGCTCATCCGCCCGTATGCACGTAGGTGCGTACGTATAGAATGTCGTGGGTATTTGGCCTTTTCGTTGTTTTTTTTTGTTTTGTTTTTTTGTTTTTTTTTAACCTTAGACTCACCTCTTAAACTTTTCTCACTCTTTCTCTTTCTGCTAATTGTAGCATTTTCGACTTCCGGTTTACTAGACATATAGTGTCGTTATTAATTCTAGATAGATAGATTCTTATACAGGGCGTCCATAAGGTTCGTGTGCACTTTAAAAAATTTATAACTTTATTTGTATTTGCGATAGAAATAATCTGTAAAAAATGTTATAAAGTTTAATGTACCTAGTTTTAAATATAGCTAAAATAACTAATGTGATTTCAGGCATTACTGTAAATCAGTTGGCAAATGTTTTCCGTGAACTTCAAAATCGTATTACTCTTTGTATCGCTAATGATGGAGGACATGTGGAAACTTAAATAAAATTTCAATAAAACCTTAAAAAATATAGATTTACTTCTTTCTAATCCTTTTTACAAATTATTTCTATCGCAAATACAAATAAAGTTATAAATTTTTAAAGTGCACACGAACTTTATGGACACCTTGTATATTCTTGGAGTGTGATTTGGACTCGATCTCCAGCCGCAGAAGAATAAGCTGTAAGTGCAACCAAATATCGAAGCGCCGATTCAGATTTGGCTTCGAAGGTGGTTGTCCTTAAAGGACAGTATAGAAACGCGCTTTACATACAGATACACTCTAATCGTTTATCAATTATCTGTGATTCCCTTGTCTGCGACTCAAATGTTGGGAAATTAACAGAGACGTTTGCACTGAACGACCTTACAACGGAATTATGGGAATTCTGCACTTGCGGTGTCATGTATATCCTTGAAAATTGGATTTTCTAGAGCGTTTTAGGACTGAAGTGCGTTAGGATGGCTTTCCCCTTGAATCGACACTAACTGTAACTCCCGTGTGACTCAAACCTGTCTTCGTCTCAGACAGAAGGAGCCATTTCATCGCGTGTGTTAACGGGGGGGGGGTCAAGCTTCCTCAGCCTAATAACTTCCCCCGAAGCAAGGCGATGTCCTAATAGGAATGATAGGGAATTAAAAGACTTTAGAAGGAAACGGGGAAACCTATACTCCTGTTCAAAAGACCTGGAAGGAGTGTGAACCTGGCGATGAACGAACATATCTACTCCTATTGAAATATATATATTTAATAGGCAGAAAATCTCCGTTGTCTTACGGCTATAATCTCTTGTGTGAAAGACCTCGGGAGTTAACACCGAGGAAAAATTTGAAGTCCCTATGTGTGTTCATGGTTGTAGTCCGCAAAATAAAAAAAACAAAATCATCGACCCTTACCTTTCCATAGGGCCATTTCACCAACGTGAATAGCGAGTACCTACTGCATGCATAACAGCCTGTCCCCATATCTAGTTACGCAGGTCTTTTTCACTAGAAAGACGGGAAGTAGATAGAATCTGTGCCTCGAATATCATCCAGAGCAAAGCTTCATCGTCTCCCAAACATTAACGGTTGCATAAGAATACAGTAAGAATGATTTCAAACATGTGTTATTAAAGTGAATGGACTAGTTTTATCTTTTTAATTTTTTACAACATTTTTTCAAGTTTGCTTATATATTGTTGCATATCAGGAACCGAAAGTAAAGCTGAACAGCTTTCGCGTGTGATAGATATAAAGAGAAGTATCAACCAAAGGGAGAAGAGCGTGATGTAAAAAGGACAATAGCTTTAATACAACGCCAAACGGACAGTGATTCCTGTTTCAACCTAATATACAAATGTTTTTTGTGATTCCTGTTTCAACCTAATATACAAATGTTTTTTGTTTTTTTTTTTTAGATTCGTAGATTTGGGTGATTCTTGAGAATACAGTACCTCCTCGATTTTTCGGGCATTAAATGAAGAGAAAAATTGAAATCATCCGAGCATTTGTCAATTATCCAAACTCCGTCTCCGCCAATTGTTTTGGGAAAAACATTTTATTTTCAAACGAATTTTTATTCGTTTTTAATATAGTAACTAAGAAACTGTCGGAGTTAGCGCCTCCTTAATTCCCAAATTGTCACTCGGAGTCATTCTTCCTATACTATAAATACTGGGTGACTTCGCGCCTCGTTCTCTTTTTCATTTCTTCATTTCAGCGACTACAATGTAAGCTCTCTTAGAAGATCCGCGTCTTCCCATTTGTGGGAGACGCCATAAACATTATACACACATACACATACGTACAAACATTCACCAAATAACAGACACAAACGTTCACACACACACACACACACACAAATGTCATTGTCTATGTCCATTGTAAAATTGTTTTGTTTACTACATATATTTGTTTATATATATATATATATATATATATATATATATATATATAATCTTGTTCCTCTTCAGTTAGACTTAATTCAACTTCGGCCATATTCTTGTAGTTGGACCTTTTAATATTCTACCAGGATTTACACACGTGTTTCTAATACAACAACACGCAAACTCACACGGTCCTCTACAAAAGTGAGGTACCTTGAAGTACCCGAGCGTTGATTAACACCTCTACCAGACGTACAATTCGACAATTGGACTCATTACACGCTCAAAATGGCATAGCAAGACTCAAGATCGACGTATAAACAGATCTGTATCTGGTTTTTGAAAAAGAACTCTTTCAGCAAAAACGTATATACACGTCGGAAAAGGGGGGGGTTAAATCATTCTTATATTTCATCTCGGACAAGCGTTTTGTGAATTTAGAAAACCATAATCAACGATGATAAAAGAAGTATTGATAAAATTGGTTCAGTTAATTCTTCTTGATTTCCTCATTGTTTTCATACAAAGAATACGCTTAAATTATAATGGGTTGGCCACAACAGAGATTAGCGGTAGAAAAATGAAATTTTCAGGTCTGAAGATTGCGTTTAAGCATGAAACAGACTGTCGCTGCTGGGTGTTGACACGAATGCCCACTTTTATATTTATATAAGCTCTATCCCTGATATTAACTTATAAATATACCGTAAACTATATTTTTATCATTATATATATATATATATATATATATATAACGTCATCCACAGACAGACTGTTTCGCTGTTTCACAGCTCATCAGTGTGGCTAGACATCCGGTTGCCTCTAGCAAGGATCCAAACCCGACTGAATTGGTGTCAGTCGGAGATTCTAACCATTAAGCCGTCGGCGCACGATAGGGATGAAAGTGAATTTTTTAGCGTATTTATTTTTAGAAACACGCCCAGTGACCGACAGTGACTCAATTCGCATTTGCGAAGAGTCTCGCTATATAGCTATAATAGTCACTGTTTACCAACCCACACCTCGTCCCCAGAGAGCTCAATTGAAATTGATATTTCAGGAGCCAATATATTAGAAAGATGAATGCTTAAAATTGACCACCGTGACGTCATGTGCAACGTTTAAGCGGAACGAAACCATGCCAGATGAATGCGGTTTTTGACATACTTATATATATAAAAAAAAAATGAAAACAGATTTTTCGCGTACTCTCGCATCCCTTAAACGCTACACACACACACACACACACACACACACACACACACACATATATATAGGCTGCGGCAAAAGTAACGCTCTCTTTTATTCATTAACTTTTATTGAACAAAAATAAATAACATTACTTTAACATATCTTAAGATTAACTATGGCTTACGCGTTCTGGAATGGTTAAAAATCTTCATTTCGATTTGAGGTGGCTAGGATGGTGTGATTGGCCCTCACGATCACCAGGCCTAACATCACCAGACTTTTTCTTGTGGAGTATATTAATAGATCTTGTTTACAGACTCAAACCGAAAACAATTAGTGAATTAAAACAAGCAATTTCTGATAATGTTTCTGAAATTAATGTAGAAATATGTCAAATGGTTTGTAGAAGTGTTGATGATAAGATTCAGTATCATATTGAACATGAAGGGGAGCATTTTGAACATGTTAAATTGGTAATCATAACAAAACCGTGTTGTTTTGATGTGACAATACTTATAAATTTTCTTCTTGCTGCCTCTTGCTTTCCTTCCTATTGGAAAATCCTCATCTGTTGTTCCAGTTTTTAATAATTCAGGTGAACCGTCCGATCTTTCCAACTATCAGCCTTATATTTCTTTTAGAGAAACTACTCTAGGCCCTA